TCTTGATCACGCTCGGTCACTCTCGAACTTCGTCGTGCCGGCGGATTATTACACGTTTTCAAAATATCTTTGGGATCCGAAGACTCTTTGCGTGCAGTAGTTCTTTCTAGTCGAGTTGATTTCTTGGAAATTTCAATTCTATAACATCGAACAAGAGGTCGCAAGTATAAGAAATGAAGAAGGGTTTCTGAAAAACTAAAGATGCCTACCCTTCTGTCTCGTTTGCTCTTGTTCTTGATTTCTCCACTATATCTTTCTCCCCTGAAACCAGAATTTTCATCGCATTAGCACCTTCAGACTTATGTAAACGACGTTCCTCTTTCTTCTTTGTTTCTTTTTGCATCCGTTCAAAAAGAGCAAGCTGCTGTTTCATTTTCCGCTCTTCCCGAGTCTATAAGTAACGAAAACAAATAAAAACAAAATTCCAAAAAAAAAAAAAAACCAGCTACATAAAACCCGCAAAAAGGAAAAAGTCATAAAGGAAAAGATTAATGAAAAAACCTCCGCCTTATTTCTGTCACCCGGCAACATGTAGTTCATCATCTCCACTTCAGGCAACTCTCTTCTATGATGACTCATTTTCTTCACCGGAACATCGTTCGCAAGCAATTTGTCCTTAAACGGAACTGCTTCACCAAACTTGCTGACATTTTCATCCCTCGCTTTTTTATTGACAACCTCGTCTTTATCCACATCTACCGTACTCTTCCGTTTTCCCCGTGTTATAAATGTTGTCAAATTTGATTTTCCCTTTTCAGCTACTGCATCTTGCTCTACTTTGACCTGCCTCTTAACGTCCGTCAAAGCAGGACTCTTGCTAATTTCTCTTGGTACTTCAGCTTTTGGAGTCACATCTGGATGTTTCATTTCCTCACTATTTGAAGCAACGCCTTCGCTTTCCGTCTCAGTCTTTATATTTGCCACTTCAGTACTTCCACATTCGTCACTTTTTACACGGATATCTCGAACGTTCTGAAAAATATTTTGAAAATCCCATCCGTAACAGAAGGCATTATGAAAATGGTGAACATTTTTTTATTTGGGAAATTATTTACCTCATCAAGTACTATTCTTACAGTATTTTCCTTTGAACTAACTTCCTCCTCTCTTGAAGACATCTCGTTTTCCGACGGCTTCAAAGCATCGGCCGAAGGAACGCTGAAAATGAAACAAGTCCTTTTCTGTCATCGCATTTCCCATGACGTTAGCAAAACTTACCCCGACTAATTACCGACTAAATTTTATAGTTCAACTATTTAAACCTTCTTTACCAGCATAATGGCTACATAAAACCCAAAGAAAAGATAAGTTTCGACTCAATATAAAAAGAAGCAAGAAAAGTTTTTTAACATAGTCTAACGATATTACCTCAGGAAATCTGAACAACTGGGCTACAGGAATAGAGTTTAAAACAATTGGGAACTGTAATCACAAGAGCAACCTTTTACTAGTTAATTTCGATGTTTCACTGTCGTTTTTGAGCCTCTTTCTCGCTGAACCTCTCTGTTTCACGGAAGCTTTCCTCGAACACCTTTTCAACTTAATAGCTCCTACCTTCTTCTGCGGAGGCACCTTCGCACAAACGCTCGTTGATTTCTTCGATTTTTTACCTTTCCCTAATCCAGTGCCTTCCACTAGGGAATCTTTCTGCTTTGAAATGGCTGTCCTTAAATAAAACCAGTGAAACAAGAGTTTCAGTCAAACTAAAACGTTGCTAAAAGTCCGTAACTTCATGTCTCTAGATGAGGAAAGACTAATTCAGACTAGAAAATACCCTTGCTCATCAGGCACTGTGCTTTCTTCATCTGTCGTTGCAACAGTTCCTACACTACCAGTACAAGCCCCAGATGATACACTGGTCCTCTTTGCTTGCTTCCAGTCGGAAGGTTCAGACACAACAACTTGTCTGCCATCTGTAAACTCACGTTTTGAAGGAGTCTTGAAAGAACGACTACTTTCTGCCTTCGCAGGCTTCTTCCCTTTCCCTCCGCTTTTAAGACTCTTCTTTGCCGTAATGCAGCTTTTCTTCTCTGCGTCCACCTACAAATTAAAAAATATAACCAACAAGAATTGGTCTAGAAAATTATTAAAAAGAAAAGGTTCAAAAGCCACTCCAATAAAACTTGTTTTCATTTTGAATTTTCGGCTTATTCACAAACCACATAAACGTATAAGGACTGTAATAATAAAAAACAGTACCTTCCAGCCAGCAAGAGCCGACTCTTCTAAAGTACTTCCTAATTTCCTAATTTTACAAGTATCTGAACCTGTATTCTCCTCATCCGGAGTACATGCACAGACAAGCTTCTTTTTTGAAAGAGCAAAATCAGGATCAAATGGTAGAGTTACCTGCAAAAAAAACTTTAAGAAAAAAAGAAATAACGAAGATCTTTTCCTCAAGAAAGAATAAAGTAGTTTAACTGAACGGAGGAATCATTCTAGTAACAGATACCTCGTCACCCCTTTCAACGTCCTCAGTCGCGACACCAAAAACATAAAGCTTCCCCGAAATGAACATGTGCTGCAACTTCACGTTCGGTTTACAAGATCTTCTAGCAAATCTCGCCGTTGAGCCTGAACGACGAGCATCTATGCAAACCGTTACAGGCGCAGAATCCAGTCCATCCAAATGTAGACTGAAAAATAAAATGCATGTTCATTTAATTAAGCACTGGCATACGGTAATACTTCATTGGTTAAAATACTGTTCAACTAGAAAAAAAA